TGAATCCACTCATAGCGTGTGTGTGTGTGTGTAATAATAATAATAATAATAATAATTAACGGTTTATTGAAAGAGCTTGGCAGCCAGAAGGCTGAAAATATACAGTTACATATTTGGGGAATGGGTTACGAATTACAAATAATATACAAGTAACATAAGTGACACAAATAAGACATATAATAACTAGATGGGGAAAAGCTCAAACTACAGTTCATTTCAACATAGTGACAGTGTCAGGAGCAGTGTTTACTGGGAGTGAATACACTGATTTATTACAAGTTATTGATAATCTTTACAATGGTTGGGACTGGGCTGTTCTTATAGCGATCAGTTCGTGCACGTATGGGCTGGATGCGGTTGTGGTGTCGAACAGCAATTCTCGGACAAGGGATCTCAGGTGGTAGTAGGAGCCGGTGTCGGGGATGGTGTAGAAGCTTCTTACCAAATTTGCAGATGAGGTCGTGGTGATGGTCAGTGAGAGTCGAAAGGGTCAGTGTGTTGAGCGCTTCTTGATATGTGGAGTAGGAAGGGGAGAGAATAATCTTGCATGCCCTCTTTTGCACTTTTTCTAGGCGTTTACGTTGTGTGGCATTTAGGGAGGAAGACCAGGTGGGGGAGGCATAGGTGAGCTTGGGAAGTATGAATGTTGTGTAAACACTGAGGAGCTCGTGTGCAGGAACTCCGAGGGACTTGAGTCGGCGGAGGAGGTGGAGACGGAAACTGGAGGATTTGACAACTTCACTGACGTGTGGTTTCCAATTTAGTTTGCTGTCTATGGTGACGCCGAGGAGCTTCGTGGAATCTACAACCTGGAGTGTGTTCGGACCTAGAGTAATGGAAGGAGGTGGGACAATGTCGGAGGAGAGGTTGATGTGCATAACCATGGTCTTGGTATGGTTGATGGTGACATGGTTGTTGGTGGCCCAGTTTTGGAGACTGTTCAATAAATCCTGAAGGGCGGTATAGTTGGAGCAGTAGAATTGTTGACGCTGATCCCAATGGTGGAGTTGTCGACATATTTCCAGCGAGCGGGGGTTTCTCTTAGGGCATCATTGATGAGCATAAGGAAGCAGAGTGGTCCCATCTTGGTGCCTTTGGGGACGCCACAGGTGAGTGACTGAAAGGTGGAGACAGCCCCTCGGAAGCGTACAGCTTGGCGTCGGTCACTGAGGAAGTCTGTAAGCCATGGTATAAGACTTCTCCGAAGCCCGAGGTCAATAGTTTTGTTGATGATTATATTGTGGTCGACTAGGTCGAACGCTTTAGTGAAATCACTGCTGGGCGACAGTTAAGAGACGATTTTCAGTTTTCGAGATGGCGGTATATGTAATCGAGAAAGCTGGACAAGACAGTGAGTGGTGGAGGAAGTTTTCGCGTTGCCAAATTGTTGGAGGGTCTACGACTCCTGCAATATCAGCATAAGCCCAGTCGAACACAAAACTTTCACAGATTAGGCTGGGTATTGGGGTGATTGCAATAGGTCGTAGCTGATTTAAGGATTGTGGGCTGGTTGACTTGGGCACTGGTGACACATAAGAGGTCTTCCAGTGTGTGTGTGTGTGTGTGTGTGTGTGTGTGTGTGTGTGGGTGGAAGAAGTGTACCCAGAGAAATATAAAACTTTTCTGACATGTTTGAATCTTAAGATTTTATTATTTTTTTTTTATTTAAGAATATATCAAAACATTTATTATTCGTGTTTTTAGTTCACAATCTGGCATGGACAAGTGGATATACTCCCAGAGATTTATAATATGTTTTTCAAAAATCTTTTGAAATTCATACTTTAGAAATTGTATAATTTTGATTACAGTACTGTAAAAATTTCTCTGGGAAAATATATTCAAAGGATTCTATTATTTCCTTAGAAAATATGATACTTTGTAAATATATTTCAAGAGAAAAGATTTTACTGAATTAAGGTTAAGAGAGAGAGAGAGAGAGAGAGAGAGAGAGAGAGAGAGAGAGAGAGAGAGAGAGAGAGAGAGCTGCCCATGAACTTGGGTCGGTCTGGCAAGCGATCGTGTTTACTGCCATTGAAGTGTGAGTGTGCGTGCACGTGTTTTGTGCGTGCGCGCGTATGTGTGTGTGTGTGTGTGTGTGTGTGTGTGTGTGTGTGTGTGTGTCAACGTAAGGGATGTTTATATTTCAAGTGCTAAAGTATAATGGATTTGCCTAGACTTAAGAAAAATATAGACATACTAACGTAAATCCTTATTAGATTTCTTACTTAAAATCGATTGACCTAAACTTTAGAATATTTTAGGGATTTAAAGGGATAACTTTACCTGTTTAATTACTTGAAATCAATCCGCGTAAACTCATGAATATTTTAGGCATTAAAATATAATTTCTAAATTATTTCGAGCTTGAAATCGATTTTTGAAAACCTTTAAGTAAAGTTAAGAAAATCCTTCATTCTATTCTCTCTAATATATTTCTTGAGAGAGAGAGAGAGAGAGAGAGAGAGAGAGTTTGTGAAGGTCGACCCCGCCCTCTCCATCGTCACGGCCGCCCACTCGATCACACCTTGAAGGTCGTCCTCAGAGCGTCTTAGAACTCCTCACTGTTTACTCCTGCGGTTGACGATGCGACTCGGGGCGTTAGAGAGAGATCAAACCCTCCCAGGCCTTGTGTCACCCTTTGTTGTGTGTGTGTGTGTCTGTCCGCCCGTCCTTTTGTGTGCCTGTCCCCCTGTTTTCTGTTCGTCCATATGTCCGTCTGTTCATCTCTTTCTTTCTTTCTCTTTCTTTCTTTCTTTCTTTCTTTCTTTCTTTCTTCTTTCTATCTATCCTTTCTTACTCACTATTCTTTCTTCCATTCATCTATACTCCATTGCCCCGTCCTTTTCTTCCTTACGTAAACAAGTTTTTTTCTCACAGACTCAGCGGAATACTCTGAAACTGTGTAGAGGGGAAGGGGGGTGGGGGGAGGGGGGGGCGAGGGGAGGTACTATTTGCCAAACTGATGGTTATTGAACCCTCATTATGGGATAATATATTTGAGTGTATAAACATTGGTATAAGGAACCTAATCTTATAATGTAGGTAGTGTGTGTGGTCAGTACAGTATAGCCAAGGGGTGTATAATATGGTGACAGTATAGCCAAGGGGATGTATAATATGGTGACAGTATAGCCAAGGGGTGTATAATATAGCAACAGTATAGCCAAGGGAATGTATAATATGGTAACAGTATAGCCAAGGGGTGTATAATATAGCAACAGTATAGCCAAGGGGATGTATAATATGGTGACAGTATAGCCAAATGGGTGTATAATATGGTAACAGTATAGCCAAGGGGTGTATAATATAGCAACAGTATAGCCAAGGGGATGTATAATATGGTGACAGTATAGCCAAGGGGTGTATAATATAGCAACAGTATAGCCAAGGGGATGTATAATATGGTGACAGTATAGCCAAATGGGTGTATAATATGGTAACAGTATAGCCAAGGGGTGTATATAATATGGCGACAGTATAGCCAAGGGAGATATTATACAACATTCTCCCTCTACTATCCTAACCTCAGAGAACTGTAGAGTCAGACAACAAGCCACCAAATTGCCCTAGCAGGACGACCCATAGCAAGACGACCCATAGCAAGACGACCTCTAGCAAGACTACCCATAGTAGGATGACCTCTAGCAAGACGACCCATAGCAAGACGACCTCTAGCAAGACTACCCATAGTAGGATGACCTCTAGCAAGACGACCTATAGGAAGACGACCCATAGTAGGATGACCTCTAGCAAGACGACCTATAGCAAGACGACCCATAGTAGGATGACCTCTAGCAAGACGACCTATAGCAAGACGACCTATAGTAGGATAAACTCTACTGACAGCTGGACACCTACTGGTTCTTTAAGCCACTCGAATCCCTTTTTTTCTAACCCCGGATGCCGCCTTGTATCTGTCTCTCGTTCTGGCTGGCTCTTTGTGCGTAACTAACTATCGTACGTCGTCACACATTCCGCAGCTGAACCGCAGGTATGTGATTCGGTAAACACCACCAGACCTGCCCAAGTGTACACATTACTATACATGTTAGGGAGATGGGGAGGTTCTTCACGCCATCACCCGATACTTCCTGAAAATACCATCACTCGTATTTTGAATTTTGGCCTAGAAGGAAAATAAAACTTAAAAAAAAATATTCCTTCCCCCAAAATAGCATTAAAATTGACTGTTATTTTAGTGATTCACCTTTTAATGAGATGTATTACTATATGCAATTGCTTCTTAATTATTGGTATCATGATTGTTAGCTACGTCTAGTTAGTCCAGATTATGTCTTTCCTGATCTTACTTACGAGGAAGTTTTTGTGTATTTCTCTGACGCTAAAGGAAACCAGTGTGTCTGTTGTTACGAACTGTATGTCGGTCATCTCTTTCTTTTAATTTTTCTCTCAGTGCGGACTTAGAAGCGAGGGGCCACATATTCTGAAAAAATTCTTAAGTTGATTTATTTTTCGTAACCTGAAGTGAAAACGCATAACTTAACCTGACCTAACTTTACGTAACCTTACCAAACTTAATTTTATGTAATCTAACCAAACTTAACTTTAAATAACCTAACTTAACTTTGGGTAACCTAACTTAACTTTGAGTAACCTAACCTAACCTAACTTAACTTGACGTAACAATTTAACTTAACTTTGCGTAACCTAACCTAACCTTACTGAACTTATCCGTCTTAATGTTGACCATGTTATACTTGTATTTCACTTTTGAGGTAATTTTTGTTGCGTGGTTTATGATTAGAAGGTTTAGTGTTTTTTTTTTTTTTTTTTAAGAATTTTTGGGGAGTGTTGGAAAGTATAATGTGATATTTACCTGTTGACACGATTTTAATTGGTGATATTTTGTTTCTCGGGTGATTTTGTTTTTGTTTCCCAGGTAATATTTATATAATTATTCCTTAGAATTTTATGGTTTCTGGATTTTTATTTATTTTTTACTTTAGTAATTATAGAAACTGAAGTGTGGTATTTACCTAGACAGACGAATGCTGGGGCAGCGGGGGGCAGGAACAGCAGCGGCAGCAGGTGCAGTAGGGCAGAGAGCATGATGGTAATAACAGCCGCTCAACAGCAACAACGACAACAACCACACCACCACCAGCACGCCAAACTGGTTAGTTCAGCGTGCGTGGAGCGGGGCGCGTGGAGCGGGTCACCTCTGGACAACACTTGGGTATAACACTAGGCATAAGTCCCTTTCTGGTAGTGTTATACGCAGTAGCCCCTGTCTAGTAGTGTTATATAGCCCCCTTCTGTCTGTGATCCACATTTGGACTCTTCGTACACTAGGAAGTAACCCTTTTCTGTCAGGGTTCCTCAATCGGGCCTTTTCTCAACACCCTGAACACTGGCTCTGGCTCTGTCTCAACGCTGGGAAGTTCATCGTCCCCAACAGGAGTTGTTGAGCCTTCATCAAACAGTGTTCCGCTACAGACACTTTCTTGACTCCCAGGGCTGAGGGCCAAGCACTTGGACGTGTTCCTTTTCAAGCAGGACCTCCAGTTGAGGGTTCAGGAGAAGGTGGGGGAGTAGGATTGGAGGTGAGGGAAGAGGCGGAGGGTAGGATGAGGTGGAGGAGGAGGAAGGGGATGAGGGGCAGGATGAGGAGGAAGAGGTTAAGGAGGAACTGTTGTTGATGCTATCCAATCATCGCGCCGCAGGAATTAACGCGTAAGTGACTCCACCGCCTTATGTCCCCATGACCACTGTCGCACTCACCATGATCATTAAGTCCGGGGTGCTCCTCCACACACACACACGCACACACACATGCACACACGCACACGCAAACACACACACTAAAAATACCGAGGTCCGACGCACCTTGACCGGCCGACGGATCAGCTGACACCTGTCGCACCGTTCTACTTCATTTCTGTTAATTTTTCAGTGTCCGTCTTTCTTTTAAAAAAGTTATTAACTACAGCACTGGTATCTCACTTCACGACGAGTCACTGGGGAGTGCTGAGGGGTAGAAGGTCGTCTTGGTGGTGTCGTTGTTGGTGTCTCCACGACGTGTCATTTTACATCGACCTCTAAAGACACCACGACGGAGGAGGTGGTGTGTATGCGTGTGCGAGTCCACCCCTTGTGTGTGTGTATGAGACGCGGTGGGGAGTTGTATCACAGTTTCTATGTTTTCCCCTCGCAGGCGTGTAAGGTGCGGGATGGGGGAGAGAAGGAGCAGCACGCGCCGGGCCAGGTGACTGTCTGTGAGGCTACGGGTGGGCCAGGCGTGTGTGTATGAGTGTGAGTGTGTGTGTGGGGCGGGAGGGGACGGCGCGCGCGCTCTCTCATACTCACACACACACACACACACACACACACACACACACACGCGTCAGTTGTAGAACACTACCATCTGCTGCCCTTGCTATCCCACCAACTTACACCGTGTTGCTGCTGTCACTGTTGCCAATACTACTGCCGCTGTTGTCATTACCTCTACTAGTACTACTACTTTTTTTTTTTATAATAGTGGCCTCCAGCCTCCCCCAATAGCCACACCTTCGCCACCATTTTATTACCTTAATATTAAATATCCTAATACATAAGTAGCTATCCTATCTGTGTTGAATTAGTTGAGCCGCAGATCTATGCGGCATTGAGTGACTGTAGCCTCATAGTCAATATCTGCAGCAGTTATCGGGATTAGGGCAGAAGCTCTCGTTCTACTACTACTACTATTACTACTAACTAGGTACCCACGCGTCCGAGGTGTTGTTTTGCAGCCCTGACATGTTGATACGCCTCACTATTAAGCTGTTAGGGCTGTTTTCTTGCTCTTAGGTCGAACATCACACCTGATTACCACCTATAATAGCCCTTATAAATAAGTGTTTTTCTTTCCTTCATACCCCTCACTGTTATTATTTGTTCCTCTCTTCCTTGTTCGTCATTCTGTTTTCTTATTCCTATGTTTGTCTTCTAATCCCCCTCCTCTTCCCCCCTCCCCCTCCTCTTCCTCCTCGTATCTCTTTTGCTTTCTCCAATCTCTCTTTTACTCTTCCTTCCTTCCTTCCCTACGTGGTCCTTTCTCTTCATTTTCTCTAACTACATCTTTTCCTACCTCCTCCTCCTCCTCCTCCTCTTCTTCTGCTTCTTCTTCCTCTTCCTCCTCAGTAGAAAAAACACGCCCTAAGGAATACTGTACTGTATATTATTCGACCGTCACAACTGTTTATTTATTTTAGCATTTCAAACTGAAGAAGAAAAACAAGAAGAAAACGAAAGGAAAAAAAATAATAGTTTTAAAATATATGGGATGAAAAAGTAAGGTTAAGTAATTAAAAGTAACAAATAAGTAATATAAGTTAAGAAAAAGTAAGTCATGATAAGTAAAAGTAGATCACTATATAAGTATATAAGTATATAACTGATTAAGGCATTACAAGTAAGAAAAAGTAATATCAGTAGGTCAGTAAGTAAAAGTAGACAAAGAAAAGTAAGAATAGAGGGAAATGGTAAAAAGTAGGAAAAAGTATTAGAATGTCGTAATCGAATTTCCACTTTTTCTTTGTTGGTCGTATGAACTGAGTAATGGTGATAGTAGGGGTGGTAGTGGTGGTAGTAGGGGAGGTAGTGGTGGTAGTAGCAGGGGTAGCGGTGGTGGTAGTATATAGGGATTGTGGACAGATGGTGGTAGTAGGGGTGGAAGTGTTAGTAGTGGGGGTGGAAGTGGTAGTAGCAGGGGTGGTGGTGGTTGTAGTAGTAGTAGTAGGGATAGTGGAGATAGTCGGGGTAGTGGTGGTGGTGGTGGTAGTAGTAGGACTAGTGGAGGTAATGGTGGTATTAGTGGTAGAGAGAATAGTGGTGGGGGTAATTCTGGTATCCACTCTCATTTCCATGTTGTGGGTCTTAGCCTCTTAGGAGGGCGGATCTCTCTCTCTCTCTCTCTCTCTCTCTCTCTCTCTCTCTCTCTCTCTCTCTCTCTCCATACTGCTTTACAACCTCCCATCTCCCCTCACACCACCACCACTACCACCACCACCACCACCCACCCTCATCTCAATTACACAGTTCATATGGTGGTCACCTTTGTTGTTATATAATTAAGCCACTGTGGGAAACATCAGCAATTTTACCTGGTGAACAAAATTAATATACGAACCACCTGAAGCGATATGACTCATTAGTTCGTCGTGTGTAAAACAGAATTTGTATTTAATGTAAATTTTTGAGGTTAGGAATTTTCCCTCTAGAACATTTTAGTGGTAACGATGGAAATATTATTATTATGCTGATAATTATTATTATTATTAATGTTAATATTATTGTTGTTGTTGTTTTTCCATTATTTATCTTTTTTGTTATTATCATTATTAGCAATTCGTTCGTAAACTCGGTGCTCTTCACCTAGAAGCACCATCATGGCTGCATTATACACGGGATATATCTCAGTTTTTACGACTATCCGCATTTACTGAAAGTCATCAGCGGTTCCATTAAGCTTCCTGATTCATATTTTGGGGCTAAATATTTGCAATATTTTTAATGTCTCACTAATTGCGTAAAAAAATTTGTGCATGATTAAAAATCTCTTTTTCTCCACCATTATTCGTTTTTTCACCTACAAATGACAAAATTCAAGCCTGAAAACATTTAAGCAATTTTCAAACCCAAAATAACGAGATTGTTGAATTAAAAGAGTCTGCCTGAGATTTTTTTTTCTTATTTCCGACAGATCTCACCAAAGGTAGTTTTCAACATGTTAATTT